AGACGAGAGATTCAATTGATTTAGGAGGAGGAGATGGTTTGAAAGGAGGTTATTCAATTGATTTAGGGTTTGGTTGGAGGTAGAGAGGATATAGGAGTATAAATAAATTAATTTATTGTAAATAGAAATAAAAATAAAATAATATTTTTAAATTAATAATAAAAACCTGAATTTAGCAAGATGAAACTTGAATTAGGATTAATGAAAACAGTAATTTAAAAGTAGGGCTGCATGTAATTTTCTCAATAAAATATTAGATCAGTCTTAATTAATTCCTGAACAATTCATTTTTAAATTTTTTCTATTATTCTCAAAATTATGGTAATTTTAACGCGATAAAAAAATGATTATAAACTAATTTTTAAGAATTTAATTAATTCAAAATTTTCATAATTTCGTTCATAAATTTTTTTATTTTTACATTTTAGATACTATTTTCAAAATTATGGTAATTTAAATAATATGTTATTTTTTATTGCAGTTTGTACTACTAAAAAATAATCATTATCTTTCCATTTACACAAGGTTACAAAATTTGTGATCACAACTCTATAATATAGAAGCGATACGACTTATAGAGCCATTATTATATTTTATAAAAATTCCTTCCAAACGACCATATTTGACTATCATTTATGTCTGCATACGATACATGAAGTTGTCACAATTTTATCAAATAACAATAATCAGAGTCACAATTGTTTGTCACATCTCGCATGAACTCATTCCATTCGAATTTGTCGCAACTACGGATGTAGATCACTCTTTTTTTTTTTGCTACAGTTCATCCAAGATCACAACGATTACATATGATAACGTGGTAGGAATCACATGCCCCACAACAAATGTTACAATATACCTTCACCATTTCTTCTAACTACTGAAATATCTATCCATAATTTGTAGCTATTTCAATTGCTAACGTCGTCAACTATTTTTTTTTAAAGAGAAAGTAATTAGTTTGCTATTTGTAGGGATATATTTAAAAGAAATTAATTATATTCATATATTCACCTATTAGTTTTCATATGAATTTTCTTTACAAGTTGGTTTTAAGGTAAGTTTTGTCCAAAATGAGAATTATAATTAGTAGCAGAGCAGCATAGGACACCTTGTTGGGTGACCCATGTTTAGAAAAAAGGGCCACCGTAGACACCGATTATAAAAATATATGAAAAATAAGGAATTGCATTTCACATTGCATGACAACGAGTTGAGGGGGTCATTTCTATCCCGTTTCATCGAAAATTTTCGAGGGGTGTGATAGGAACTTTATTCTTGGTTGGAATTCTCGGCCTCATTTGGAGCGGGTCAATGTGGAGTGAGTCGGGATGGAGAATATTTGGATCCGTTTAATGTGCTCTAAGGCCCTATTTGATTTTACAATTTTTTCATGGAACTTGGAAATGAAATTCCATCGTCGTGTTTGAATGGAAAAATTTTCTTGACAATTCATTTTCCATCTTTTGCCTCATACGGTTCCAATTTCATGATTTTTGAGGAAAATTAATTCCCACCAATTTGGTGGGATTTGGTTTTCCAGACTACTTTTTTTTTAGCAATGGAAGCAAATTCTATTCCTAATGAACAATTTTCATGTAAAATAAAGTCAAACGAACACCAAAAGATTCAAAATTTCAATATTTTCTAAGTGAAAAATTATATTAATTAAACACAATTTTTATGAAAATAATTTTAGACAATTCAATTTTCTGAATTTCATTTTCTTTCCACCCAAATTTCACTATTGCAATCAAACGGATTCTAAAGTCTAATATAACAGTTCAGGTGCAATATTATATTACGGTAATAGCACCAAAAATAAAAATAAATGAAAATAGCGATAAAAAGATAAATAAATGAAAATAAAACCTCGCATCGTCCTTTTCTAGTTTTCTTCTCCCCTCTGAGGTAGGGTTTTTGATCTATACATACACGCATCGTGTCTCTGTGTATTTATAGCTATACCAACCGCCATGACTATCTGTCGCTTCCTCATCCGTTCCCTCCGCCGATACTCCACCACCAGTCCTCTCCAAACACCCTTTTCCGCCACCACCACAGCTGCCGCCGCCGCCGAGGTCCTTAACCCTAACTTTGATTCTCAACACACAACTACCAATGGCTTCCAATCTCCCAACTCTGGCTTTACCACTGCCACCGGACCTCTCAGTTACAACCTTCCTCCTCCTAGTCCATCCACTCCATATCGCCCCTACAGCTTCTCCTCCGCCGAGGAAGCGGCGGCTGAACGTCGCCGACGAAAGCGCCGCCTCCGTATCGAGCCCCCTCTCTACGCCCTCCGCCCTAATCCCGCTTCCCACTCATCTCACATCAACAACCCTGACAAGCCTCGCCTCCCAGACTCCACCTCTGCTCTCGTCGGCCCCCGTCTTAATCTCCACAACCGCGTCCAATCGCTTATCCGCGCTGGAGACCTCGACTCTGCGTCCTACATCGCCCGTCAGTCCGTCTTCCAATCGATCCGCCCTACAGTCTTTACTTGCAATGCCATCATCGCTGCCATGTACCGCGCCAAGCGATACCAGGATGCCAAAGCTCTCTTTCAGTACTTCTTCAACCAGTTCAATATCATCCCCAATATTGTCTCCTACAATAACCTCATTGTCTCCCACTGTGAATCCAACGAAGTAGACGACGCCTTGAAGGTTTACAATCACATTCTCGAGAACGCTCCCTACAGCCCTTCGGCAGTCACTTATCGCCATCTCACAAAGGGTCTCATTGATGCTGGAAGAATTGATGACGCAGAAAATTTGCTCAAAGAAATGTTACATAAGGGTCATGGTGCAGATTCTTTGGTTTTTAATAATCTGATTCTTGGGTTTTTGAATTTTGGCAATTTGGAAAAGGCAAATGAGTTGTTTGATGAGTTGAAGGGACGGTGCACGGTTTATGATGGAGTTGTGAATGCGACCTTCATGGATTGGTTTTTCAATCAGGGCAAGCCAAAGGAGGCAATGGAATCCTACAGGGATTTGATGGGTAAAAATTATAGGATGGTGCCTGCAACTCGGAATGTACTTCTGGAGACATTGTTGAGACACGGTGAAAAGCAAGAAGCTTGGAAATTTTTCCACGACATGTTGGATGATCACACCCCGCCCACATTCCAGGCTGTGAATTCAGACACTATCAATATGATGGTCAACGAGTGCTTTAAGGAAGGGAAGATCACAGAGGCTATCGACGTGTTCAAGAGGACTGGGAAGGCCGAAAAATCAAAGCCTTTTATGATGGATGTGGCGGGATTTAATAATATGATTACGAGGTTATGTGAACTTGGGATGATGGAGGAAGCAGAGCAGTATTATCAAGCTTTGTGCAACAAGTCATTGGCTCCAGATGTGAATACTTACAGGACTCTGATTGATGCATATATTAATGTGGACAATATTGAGAATATGTTGGAGAAGTATTCAAAAATGGTTGAGGCTGGTTTGAGGGTTATTCCATCTTATGCAAATAAGTGGTTCAGGTTCATGATTGAGAAGGGTAAGGTTCTTGACTGTGTCTCAATTTTGTCGAAAATGAGTGATAAAGAACCAAGGCCTGATGTTACCACCTATGATATCGTAATTAGGGGGCTCATTGAGAGTGACAATTATGATGCCGCTGCCAATTTGCTAAGTCAGATGATGAACTACGGTGTTGGTACCACTGTTACCCTTAAGGAATTTGTGTTGGATGTTTTTACGAAACAAGGGCGACAGGCAGAGATTGAGAACATTTTGTATAGGTCTCGAAGCCCTTTTCCAGCCCACAGACCTTATACAGGACCAAGAGGTCCCCCAGGGATAGAATGGGCGCCTCAAATGCCACAACAGGGAGGAAGACACGCTGCAATGCCGTGGCAGACAGAATTTTACCCACAAACACAACACACTTCTCAAATGACACAAGCACCTCAAATGGCTGGACAGTCGGCACATGTACATCCAAGGTCAGAACAGGAGGCAGAGTTTGGTCGCGTGGCTGGACAAAATGTGGCTTAGATTATGGGTAATGATGAAGAGTAATGCAATTTGTAGTCGCTCACTGCCACAATTGTCTGACGTGACACATGATTTCATGCATTAATATGGTAATTTTT